TTAGCTGGGCATTCATCAACAGTTAATTCAGTCAATTTCTCCACTGATGGAAATACATTAGCATCTAGTAGTGATGATAACTCTATCCGCTTGTGGGCTTTAAAATCATCAAAGGAAATAGGAAATACTTAAATCAGATAGTAGCTATAAAGATATTCTTTAGTTTAACCTACCACTTCAGAATAGCTCCTTACTGCCAAATGGTATTAATTATTCATTATTATTTAGTTAATCCTGATTGTACAATACTTAGAATTTGTTAGAATCCTTGGTTAGAAGCATCAGGAACCCTTATCTTATAAGGACAATTCATTAATTATTAAGGGATAGATTTAAAACCATTGTTTAAATCAATGGGTAGTTGCTTTTTAGAAGACTTAAAGCAAAAGCAAAAGTGATTTGAATATTCATTAAAAACATTACAATTATAGTTTTAATCATTTTCTTAGAACTTTTTTGAATAATAGATGGTTATCAATTAATATTTATAGACGTACAATACACTATTAAATTTATAATATAAACAGTGTAAACAGGTTTAGTCCTAATAATGATTAGTGATAGTTTAGTATATTTTAGATTTTCAAGTTTATAAAAAACATAATGATAATTATTAACAAATATAAGAAAAAAGATACATTTCAAAAATTAAAAAATAACCTTAATCTTAGAAATGATCTTAAATGATAACAAAGTTTAAACATTGATTGAATGATTTTAAAATTACTCTACTCTAATTTGGTAATATTTTCGTAACATGTTTTCAATTGTTATTAAAAGTATTAGAGAGAATAAAGGACTGAAAAGATATAGTAATCATCAATAAATATTCCAACCCTAGAGATCTTAATTAAATCCATCCCTTACAATAATCTTAAATAAGCAGTTACTTTCAACATACCTCTACAACATTTGGTGCAGAGATTTATAGAAACTAAAATTGATTATTCTTAATTAGTATGGAAACAATAGTCTTATTTTTTTCTTTGATCCGCTGAAAAGATTTAATAATGTCTTCAGTAAAATTTAATTCGGATAAGCTTAAAGTTCAAAGCTAAATGAGAAGGTTAAATTCTCTATCAAGAAAAAAGGCTATAAATAATTTTCATGCTAGTGATACTATTATTAGTTACTGTGTGTATAATAAAGACAATTAATCTGACTTACATTATTTCATTAGTTCAAAGGATATAGCAACGTTTATCTATCCATCATTTCCCTCAAATTTTATATTACTTTTAAGTTTTCAAAACATATAAAAGTGATTCAGATTGTATTCTGTTTTGTTTTTATATTCAAGCAGCATCAGAGAATATTAATTTGATCAATAAGTTAATAAAAAATCTATGCAAGTAATTAGTACTTAGTAATATAAAATTTATTCTAATTAAGATTTATTAAAGAAAAATGATTAATTAATTATAATTAGTATTTTTATGATTTAACCAATTTCTATTAATCATCAAGAAGAAAAAGTGTGGTATGATAAGGGTAATAAATTGTTATACGTCATATTTAGGATCTGTATTAGCCGATATAAATCAATTTCAAGAAGCAATTTAATGTTTTAATAAAGCTATTTTTATGAATCCTAAATATGATTTAGCTTTGATTGGCAAGGGTAATTTTTATATATTGAAAAATATTAGGTAATGCATTAACTGAATTGGAGCAATATCAAGATGCAATTAATTGTTATACCGAAGCTATTTATATTAATCCTAAATCTGAAACTGCATGGAGTGGCAAAGGTAATTTAATGCTCAATATTAAAAATTAGGATATGCTTTAGGCAGTTTGTATCAATATAATGAAGCAATTGGCCATTTCTATTAATCCTAAATTTGCTGATGCATGGAATTGGAAAGGTAAATACTTTGTTCAATCATGATAATTAGGAATTGCATTAGAAAAATTGAATTAATATTAAGAAGCAATTGAATGTTACAATGAAGCAATATCCGTTAACCCTAAATCTGATACTTTTTGGAAGACTAAGGGTAAATTTTTTTATAAATATTATTCTCTAGGTAATGGATTAAATAAATGGCAAAAATTTTAGGAAGCAGTTGAATGTTACAACGAGGCAATAGCTATTAACCCTAAATCTGATGATTGTTGGAATAAAAAGGGTAACTAATTGTTAAATATTAATATAGGGAATGCATTAAGAAATTTAAAATAATATCAAAAAGCAATTGAATGTTACAATGAAGCAATAGCTATCAACCCTAAATGTGATTATTATTGGAATAATAAGGGTAACTAATTGTAAAACACTAATATAGGATATGCATTAGCTGAATTGAAATAATTTTAGGAAGTAGTTGAATGTTTCAATGAAGCAATAACTATTAACCCTAAATCTGATTAGTTTTGGAATAATAAAGGTAACTACTTGCAAAACACTAAAATAGGTGATGCTTTATATGAATTGAAATAATTTTAAGAAGCAATTGAATGTTACAACGAAGCAATAGCTATTAACCCAAAATATGCTGAAGCATGGAATTAGAAGGGTAAAAACTATGTTCAATTATAATAATTAGGCATTGCATTAAATAACTTGTATCAATATTAAGAAGCAATTGAATGTTACAATGAAGCAATAGCTATCAACCCTAAATCTGATGCTGTTTGGAATAATAAGGGTAACCAATTGCTAAATATTATTCTATAGGCATTACATTAAGAAAGTTGCAACAATATAAAGAAGCAATTGAATGTTACAATGAAGCAATATCTATTAACCCAAAATATGCTGAAGCATGGAATTAGAAGGGTAATAACTAT